GAAAGCTGCTAGGATCTGCAGCTCCAACAGCAACTTCACTTTCCAGTGTCCACCTCGGGAGGGCACCAGATGCCCTAGTGTTGCCTCTGTAGGAAGGATTGCAAGACAGTTTTTTTTTTTTGTTTGTTTGTTTGTTTGTTTGTATTTTTTAACTGTTGAGGATGTAGGACTTTGCAGCCAATCAGAGATTGGGTGGGGATGAGGGTGAAGGAGAGTAGCAAAGAGACAAGCAACACCCCAGTGATAGTGGATGTGGAGAGTCATTGCCACCCAGAGGCTACTTGGAGCAGCAGTGGGGGCTAAGAAACTTTCTTTTGCTCTCACTCCACAAGCTAAGAGGTTAGAGGCCTTGGGTCAGGACAGGGAACAGATTGGGGGCAGGTGGGTGTGGCTTGTCCAGCATCAGAGTTGGGCACCAACCTTGTGAACCCTCCACTTCTGTGTCCTAACATCCAGAGTATGTGTAAATTTAAAACACAAAAGTACATTTGGTACTTGTTAAGATTTTAAACCCAAGAATGACAGATTTATCACTAATTAAACAATAATTGCATTACAGAGCGCTGAAAAAAATTGCTTGTAATATAAACAACATCTGGTAAAGATTAAAAGAAACAATAATTCTTCTAAGTTCAAATTCATTGCAAGAAACTTGAATGTTTTAAAACAAAATGGATCCTAAAATGTAAAAGGGATATTTATAGTTTTGCATTTAGCATTTTGAAAATAGAAAATAACAAAATGGCACAATTAAAAATACACACTTATAAAAGTGCCTTATTTTACATGTTACATTTACAGGATTTCTAACAAGTAGGTTTTAAAAAACAAATCATTTAACTCAATAGGGAGTTTACCATTGATAGGCATCTGTCTGTCTGTCAGTCAGTCTGTCAGCAGGGTCTTGCTATGCAATCCAGGCTGGCCTTGTACTCACAGCAATCCTCTTATCTCAGTTGCCCAAGTACTATGATTATAGGTGTGCACCACCATGCCTAGATTGTTGAGGTGGGTCTTACAGGGACTCTTTTTTTTTTTTTTTTTTTTCTTGGTACGGGGAATTGAACTCAGGACCTTACACTTGGCCAGGCAGGTGCTTGTACCATTGAGCTATCTTCCTGACCCAGGAGACTTCTTTAAACAGAATTTTTCTGGTAAATAGAGTCATCTTTTAATTTATTTTTGTCCACTAAGAAGGAAAACTTCCCTTTGGCAGAGCATTGAGGTGGAAGACTTAGTTGAACATGAACAGGGTAGCCTTGTTAGTGGGTAAATTGGAGGGAAAGCCTCAATTGATTTTTTTCCAATGGACCATTTCCTACATAGAATATTAAAATCGGTCATAAAAAGAGAATTGACTCCACGCTTATTGAACTTCATTATTTTCTTACTCATCTGCATCTTTTCCCTTAATTGTAAAGGGAAATAAACCTATGAAGTTTCAGGTGAAGAAGTCTTTAGGAATTCCGCCCTTTTCTCTCTTTGCCTTTTCCTAACTTCTCAATAGTCTCTTCCCTACACGTACACACAATCAGAAGACTATAGAAAATAAGAACTATTTGTTTCTGAATTTTTTTTCTATATTCTCAGACTTCCCCATGGGTATAGATATTGAACCCAGGCTCTTGCACATGTAAAACAAGTACTCTACTCCTGAGCTATATTCCCAAGCCTCCTTTATTTTTTAAAAAATCTTTTATTTATTTATGTATTTGGTATAGGGTCTCATTAAGCAGCTCAGACTCCTAATGATCCTCCTGTCTCAGCCTCCCCAGCGCTGTGATTATAGGTATGCATCACCACACACGGTTTTGGTGGCTGGCACTGTGCAGGCATCAAAATTTTTATGGCATGTGTTACTGGCAATCAAACCTGGGTCCTCATGCTTGCCAGGCAGGCACCTGGAATGCCAAGCTATCTCCTCAGCCCCTCTTTTTTATTTTTAAAATATTTCAAGTAGGGTGTAACTTAGTTGCCCAAACTAGCCTTGAATTTTCAATCCTGCTTCAGGATCCTGAGTAGCTGGGATTACAACCGCACGGCTCTAAGGCCTCTTGCAGATGACAAGTGGCTTGTAATAATCACTGATGAGTTGGGATGAAAATGGCAAATTGAACAAATATCAGGGCCCAAGCTGAAGAGTCAGTACTATTTTACAGTTCATGCTACAGAATGGCAAGCTGGCCTCGCCCTCAGCTCTTGGCCCTCACACAGGAAGAGCTAACACTTTACATTTCCTGTGTTGATTTTGTCTTCCCTGGTTTCGTCGAGGGATGGGATGAGCTGTCCTTCTAGGTAGAGAGGGTAAACACACAGCTGCTACCTGTGGTAGCTAATTGGCAGCTGGTAGGTAGATGGGAGAGGAAGTGTCTTATCAGCCACACAATATGCACTCTCCAGCACGGCCTGGTATCAAGGAAAAAAGGCTAAGAGCAACTCTCCACGATAGTCATCTGTTTGCCTTTCCATGTTTAGTGAAGGGAGTGGGGGTGGGAAGGACTCCTGGTGACATGGTCTCCCTATACTTGAAATGATCTACATGAGAATCATTAGGACAAATGGAGAAGGGAGAGCTTGAGAAAGAAGCTATTTAATAGGATGGAGAAAAATACAAGCAGATGAAATTCACAAAAGTTTTTCTTTTCATTTTTTATGTTCATAGGAAAGATAATCATGCAGACTGTGGGCTTCAGAACTAGGGTCCAGCCTTGGGTTGCTGAGTGACTGTGGTGTGTTAGAGTGTCCCACTAGACAAAACAGGATACAGAGAGGTTAAATGTTTATCTTAATCACTCAGAGAGATGCTACAGAGACTTAGGGGGAGCTATGGCTTCCAGAAAAGCACATATGGAAGCTGTAATTTTGTTTGGAAGATTCTCTTGATAAGAAAAACAGCTTAGGTGGGCTTTGTGATTTGATGTTACAGGAACACGTGCCTCACCTGGGAGCACTCTGAGCCTTGTGAGGGGCTCAGTGACTCTGAAATTACATGCTCAAGAAGTAAAGTCTCATTTTTAAAAACTGCCACTAAAGGGGCCAGGGAGATGGCTCAGTAGAATAGGTGCTTCCCTGGCAAGAGCAAGGGTCTGAGTTCAATCTCCGGTTCGGCAAATAAAACAAACAAACAAACAAAAACCTGCCACCAAAGCATGCAGATGGCAGAGAACAGCCTGGATATCCCGGCCTCTTTCCTGATATAAAAGCAAAGACATGTTGTGGAACCAGGCTGAGAGTAACCAGTGGTCTGAAATATTTGGAAAGAACAAAACCTAATTGGAGAGTCCATCTGTATGAGGAGAACAGGCAGATTCTGCACAGCCTGGAGACATCTGAAACATTTGATTGAGCTGTTTTGCTGGAAAACAGTGTGTAAGAGAAGAGTGTTCCAAGCTCTCATTCTATCTTGAAAATGTAAGAACTTCTGTACTTCTTCCCTGCACCCCCCCCCCCGTGGTTCTTAAGGCAGCCTCAGTCTGCCTCTTCGATCATCCTCATCTTTACCGTTTAGAATGATTCTCAGTAGCACCAAACCTGCAAAGGGGCTCTAGACACTTAGGCCATTTAGAATTGTTTTATTATACCATTTCCAATTCTGATCTTATTTCCTATCCATGTGCTTTCAGGCTCTGAGTGTCCGTATGCCTGTGGGCATGTAGCACTGCTGTTGGACATTAAACCCTCTTCTAGAGAAATCTGTAAAATTGACTTCTGGAAAACTTAGCTGAATCATATTTCTTTAAGATTTGTAGTATTCTTTTTCCTTGTTTAATTTTTTTCCCATTATGAAAACATTGAAACTTTTATGATATTTTCTGGGCATATATCCAGTAACCTCTTAATAACTGTTATTATTTACAGTGAGCATTAGAAGCAAAAAGATTAACTGACTGGCTGAGATCAAAGCCAAGAAATGACCTGCCTTTGCTCTGCTGAGTTACTTTTTAAGTAGGTAATACGTTTATCTATGAGAATTTCTAGTTGGTTTCTTTTAGATAAAAAATGCACATCAGGGGAGGATTAGAGATCATGGATCACTGTATTAGAGAGTCAAATATTTAAACTTGCAAATTACAGATCTCTCTCCTTCAAATAAAAAAGCCATCATCCCATTATTTGAATAGTGATGCTCTTGCCTGGAGCCTTCTAGGGCCTGTAGTGGCGGCCTGTAGACGCAAGATGGCGCACACTCAATGTCCCAAGTTGTGATGCCAGGTGGAAGAGCAAAGAAGCAGGAAGCTCCAAGGGTGGCACTGTGAGGAGGACATGTCCTGTCTCTTTTTTTCTTGTGGATGGAGACTATAAAATATGTTCCACAAAGCTGTATCAAATGCAATATAATTGAAGAAATTCTCTTTAGAGACTAACCCATTAACATTTGGATGATACTGTAAAATATTTGTTTTATGACACATGCGCATCTGCATCAGCTCTTGCTTTGAGCTCTGGCCAAAAAAATGAAACTTATTGAGACCCCTGCCAGAGTCACAGAAGGTAACATTCAAGATAATGTTACCTTTTTTTTTTCTTTCATACTCAATAGTTGAAACTGCTAAATTAACAGGGTAATAAGTATTGTGTTATTTAGTCCAGCATGGGAGGGGTTACTGGTTTCTTCAGCAGTAGTTCTAAATGATTATGGATTCAGTCACAGGAAAACCGGGAACAAAAAATTGGCATGACTTTGAGACACTTCCAGGCCCCTTGAGGATTTATTATGAAAAATGTACCATCCAAGAGTACAAAGAAAACCACTGTTTGCATGTTTACCTGCACACCTTTATACTAGTTGTTCTTTTTCTTGCCCAGAGATATGCCCATTCTCTCTGTGGCCCTATGAATTTATCTGCCTGATAATTCCAAATTCTTGGATTACAGGCGTGTGCCACCACCCCCGGACTCCATCACCAGCTCAGCACATCCAAGGGCAGAGCTGGCACACCATAAGGTGCCAGACATCGAACCCTTTGTCTTACTTTCTTATGGGTCTTTTTGTTTTACAGCCTCAAGCAGCCTGCCACCCTGCCATATTCAGAGTTGTTGATGAAATGTTCAGGTAAATATTACGCAGATTTTGCTAGTAGTTCATATAAAAACACTCAACTTCCAAACATGAATTTAAAAACCTGGAGAAGCCTCTGACTGCACTATGGAGAAGTTAAATTTTTTTATTCCTTTTTATTTCATTGAACTTTTTGTTAATTCGCAGTAGACACTCAAATCAGTATATATTTAAAAACATGTCTAAGGGTTAAAATGACTTTTTAATTTAACCTTTAAAAATTCTAATAATGCATAAAAGCAGAGTTGAATTACATTTTTATCATGAAATAGGCAGGATTTTTCTCAGTTTAAAATAAAGTGTAGCAATATACTCCCTTCACCACATGAGGGCTGACCAATCTTTGTAAAACAATCTCAAGCTACAGAAGCTAAGAAACAGAAACAGAAAGCCATTCTTAATAGAGTTTTTCTGAAAAGGAGAGTGAGCCATGCATGTTGTCTTACAATGTGTTAATTTTTACTTTGACAATGTGCATTTTTCCTAGGCAGTGTGTTGGATTCACAGTAGGAAAGAGGCAAAGTGGTCCCTGTATACTAGTTTAGGATGTGGTCAGCAGTGCCTGGAGGTGTCAGCCATGGAGTCCTAACAGAGATCCTTCAGGGGAGCTTGTCACGTAGGAGTGTTTGAAGCCTCTCAGGAACACAAGACATCTGGGTGGGAACCTGCCTCCACCCTGGCCTACCTATCCACAGCAGGTCTGGGTAAAGAAATTTGTATTGCAAGGAATGACTCACCACTTGGGACTTCCTTGAAACCAACCCTGAGCCACTGGTAAATGACCATAGGAATAAGAAGGCAGGAATGGTTCTAAGTTAAAGCTAGCCAAGTTTGAGTTAGATTTTTCTGCTTAAACAAACATAAAGAAAAGTTAATTATATGAAAATACATGGAAACCAAGCCAGGTACACCTGTATTTCTAGCTCTTTGGTAGCAGCTTTGACTGAGCCATTTTATTCTTTCGGGCAGCTCTGTCACTGCTTACAAAAGCAACATGTATGCCAATGTCACGTGTCCTGGCCTCTAGCACACAGAAGCTGTGAAAAGTGTTCAGGCCAGTGTCAAGGGCTCTGCAGTGCTTAATGATTCAAGAACAGAGAGACAGAGAGCTCTGAGCTCTGTACCTTGCAATTTAAAGAGAATACTTAGAAAAGGGAGGAACAGATTCATTCTTTCTGCCTTAACCTTCTTTGGTGAAGGTTAAGGCACAAAAAGCAGTTCTGTTCTACCTTTTATTCCAGTTCAAGTTGGTGGGTTTACTGTCTTAGTCATTCACTGTGTTGTGCTCTGGCTTGGTGTTGTTCAGGTATGCACTCCTGGAAACTGATGGAGCCCCAGAAATACTAGCCGCTACTCAGATGTTTACACGCTGCTTTGTAGAAGCTCTCAAAAAAGAAAACAAACAGGTTTGTTATATCGCATGTATTACTCATTAACCAAAGAAAAAGAGGCTGGTAAGAGTATTTGGCTAATCACCTGAAAGTAACACTTTATTTTCAGAAATCTTGTTTAGTTGGTTGGTTGGTTTTTATGGTCCTGGGGGCTGCACCCAGGGCATTATGCATGCTAGGTACATACTCTGTCACTGAACTATTGCCCTAGTCCTGTATTTAGAAATTTTGACTGCTTTACCCAGAAAGCGTCCAAATGAATGTCCTAGCAAAAGTAAAACCATTTTAATTGAAAATGAGTGAGGGTCTTTCCTATCTGCCATGGACCCAGTGCTTAGAAGCTTCTGTCTACTTCTGTGTCTGAGTTCTTTTGTACCACTACCTGGAGCTGTTTCCCCTGCCGTATGTTATACACTTGGCCCTTCTGGCCAGCAAGAGGTATCCTGGGATGTGCTAAGTGAGATGCTACTGCACATAGCAGTCCTGACCCTTCTTGGTGGTTAGCATCTTCATTCCCATCAGAGGCCCAATATGAATGGATTGAAGGAAGAGAAGGAAGATAGGTAAACAAGGTCAGCGAAATATCTGAGTAACTGTAGATGAGGAGCAAAGAACAGAAGGACCAGACAGTGTGACACATGCCACCAGTGAAGCAGATATCTTAGTCACATTCTTATTGCTGGGACAAACTATGCAACACCCACAACTTAAGAGATGAGTTTTATTTTGGTTCATGGGTTCAGTCCAGAGCATGCTGACTTCAAGGAAGGACCAAAGTGGCAGTGGGGCATGGCAGAAGACAAGGTGCTTCATCCTGTGAGGGCCAGGATGCAAATCGAAACAGGAGAAGCCAGGGACAGAGTATTTTTCTAGGCCCCACTCCCAGCAGCCCACCTCCAACCAGGGCCTCCCTCTTAACAGCTCCTTCAATTAAGAACTCATCCATGGATGAGCCCAATGAGCAAAGGACCCCTGTGATCCAGTCGTCTTCCACACAGATTGAAAGACATTTTAGATCTAAAGCACAACAGCAGAGGACACTGGGGCCCTCTCAGTAGATACTGGGCAACAGATGCCAAAAGCCATTCACTGAGTGACTGTGTGGAATAGGAACTTCTCTACCAGAGAGCTTTCACCTTTGGGCATTGTACTTGGCCTTTGTGTCTCAGGGTCACAGGCAGTGCTTGGGTAGCATTTTGTCTGCTCAGTAGCCCTGGACCCATGTCTTCCCATTCTTTCCTGGGCAGAATGGCATGCTTGCTTACTATGCCCTCTGCAACTTGATATATGAGGGCAGAGCTAGGGTTTGTGGCCCTATTGAAAGCCCACACACACACTAAGCTGAAGAAACTGCTCAGGTTTTAGCAGATGTTTCTGCTTTCTAAGGCAATGATAAATATTTATGATTTATATTCCCATCCCCCGTTTCCCTAGGGAACTCAGGTAAGCGGTGTTATCAGTGGTACTGAGCCTGGAATTTGGGAGGAGAGTTTGGCTGAAAGGTACTGGCTGGCCCTCACTGTTCTTGGAGGCATAACTACACATATTTTTTGTCCTCCCTCATACATTCTTTATATTCCCAATTAGGCACTGTGCTCCAGCAAGCTTGAGACTCCTGGGATGCACACATGTTGGGGCAGAGGCTGTGAGGAAAACAGCTGTGCTCTTCAACTTTCTTTTGAGTCTCTCAGTCTCCTCATCTTTGCTGAGTCCTGTGTTGACCTTTGGTGCAGTGGACTTGGATGGATTTGCCCTTGTGTTTTCTGTAGAACAGGATCCTGACCAGGCCTTGTGAGGGCCATGGGGACCACACACTGGACCCCAGGGTGAGCCACGGCAGGTAATAAGAGAGTGTTATGGGGTATCTAGATGTCCCCCAATGCCTCATGTGGTCATAGGTGGAACTTTTCAGATGTGGCTGAATCTAGAATGTTTGATGCTGGGATTATGGGTATGATACCGGCACTGACTTAGCGTGATGTTAGGGTGAAGGGTGCTTCCTGCCCTAAGGGAAGAAGATAGGAGTCAGGAAGAGGATTGCTGCTGTCACTGTTGGTCCCTTGTTGCTTGCTGTTTTTGTTGCCTCTTGCCTTCGCCATAAATTGTTCTTTCTCCTCTGTGATGCCCCTCTGCCATGCCACCCTGCCAGCTAATTATGGCTTGAGACCTCTACAAATTAGAAGCCAAATAAAGCTTTCCTTCCTTAGATACTGGGTATTTTTGTCTCAACAACATGAAAAGTAACTAAGACTGAGAGCAATGACATCTTCCCTTTGCAGAGGCTTTCATATATAACTTCATTCCCTTCTTCCTGGGCCCACTACTGCCTGCCTGTGTTTCCCATTGATGATTGGGTTCCTTCACAAGCCCTGCCTCCCCGGAGCCCACCTGTAGACCGCTCATAGCCCTGAAACCCGAGGTCTTGTCACACTTGGTCCAGGCATGACTCTTCTTTTCTTTCTGAGCTTCAGTCATTAAAACCATGTTTTGGTTGTTTCTGTGCTTTTTAAAACAGGGTAGCACACAATGCATACTCTTTTTCTTTCTTTCTTTCTTTTTCTTTTTTTTTTTTTTTTCAAAACTGGGAATTGAACTCAGGCCCTTGTGCTTGCCAGGGAAGCACTTATTCCACTGAGCCATCTCCCCGGCCCCCACAGTGCATACTCTTTAGAGACTTGCTCTTTCCACTGGGTGTGTTATGAAGATTGCTGGGCTGTGTCTGGTCTAGTGGTCCATCATGCAGATGCTCCACCGCTGATCTAGGTGGAGGCCTTTGGGCTGTCCCAGGATTTTGTTTACTATTACCAACATTATCACTCTGGACAGTCTGAGAAATCCTAGAGCAGGAGGGCCTGTCAGGTGGGTCCTGAAAGAGGGGGTGCCTATTTATAATCCCAGCAGCAGTTCAGGAGAGGCAATATTAATCCACAATCTTTCCTGTGGTCAGAAATGCTGCCTCACTGCTTCTCGGTCTCCTTTTGCCCTTTCCTCTCACCCATGCATCACTGTGCTCTTAGGACAGTGGGCAAGAGGTGCGGGTGGCAGAAAAGCCATTTCCTGTGGGCTTGGAAAAGCCCTTGGGACAAGTAGCCCATTAGGTCAGGTTCAAGTCCCAGTAGTGGTAGAGTCAAACCATGGACTAGACTTGATCTCCCACAGATAAAAATTATAAACTCAGGGCAGAATATTTTCTGAAATCTACTGGAATGCACTAGAAGGGCCCTGACAATGCATGCAGACACAGGAGAGGCTTCATCCCTTGAAAGGGACAGCGCTGCAGCAAGCTCCTGCTTCTTCCTGCTCCATGTGTGTGGTGGGGGTGGTGGCTCGATCCCATTGACCTAAGGGGAGAGACAGCTGCGGACTGCCAGAGAGAGAAGAAACAAATGGGACAAAGAAAGCCACATAAAAAGATAAACTGAAATTCAGACATAGCAAAAAATATATTAATTACAAAAAGTAAATGGAAATTAATCAGATATTCTAGTAAAAAAGGCAGAGATACCAGATGGAAATTAAAAAAAAAAAAAAAACTATATATTTTCCAAAGGCCTGTTCTAATGATAACAGTACAGATAAATAGAAGGAAGGAAAGAGATATAAATAGTAAATCATAAAGTAATCATAGAAATAGTAATGATAGGAAAACTGAACAATGTTCCCATCTATGAACAGCAGAGGAATCCAACTTCTAGGCGGAGTTTACCAGAGAGAAAGAGGGACATCTCCTAATAACAGAACGGTCCATTCATCAAGAGCAGTTATAAATGGATATATGCCTACTAAGAGTTTCAAAGTACATGAAACAAAAGCTAACTAGAGTAAACAAAGAAACAGATCCATAGTCACACATGAAATAGGAATATCACAAAAGATACATGTATATGTTTTCTCATTAAAATTTGCAAAGCATTGCTGAGTGCGTCTAAAGCCAAGTTTCAGGAAAGCAAAACTGGCTTATGAACTGTTAAGATGCCTGTTCTCCTCCAGATGGACCAGTTGCTTCAGTGCAATTCCACTTAGTCCCAGCAGGCATTCAGAAGTAGAAATTGAAAGCTGGTTGTGGTGGTACATACCTGTAATGCCACACTCTGAAAGGCTGGGACAAGAAGTTCACAAGTCCAAGCCCAGCCTGTGCAACTTAGCAAGACACTGTCTTAGAATAAAAAAGGACTAGAGATGTAGCTCAGCTCAAAGGTCTTGGGTTCAACCCCCAGTACCCCACCTCCCTGAAAGAGGGCCAGGGAGATACTCAGTGGCATAAGCCCCTGCCTACCTCCCAGAGAAGAAGAAATTGACAAGCAGGTTCTAAAACATACATGGAATCACTGTTGGTGGGAGTGCAGACTAGTATAGCCACTGTAGAAATAAGTACAGAGAGTCCTCAGAAAACAAGGATTAGAGGTCCCATTCAGCCCAGCTATTCCCCTTCTGGGTATCTTCCCAGAAGAATTAAAAATATCATAACACAGCAATGTGCGTGCACCCATATTTATAACAGCACAGTTTGCAATAGCTAAATCTTGGAAACAATCCAGATGCCCATCAACCAAGGAATAGATTTTAAGAAAAAGATGTGTTTTTATACAATGGAGTATTACTCAGCCATAAAATGATTTGAGACATTTATAGGTAAATGGATGCACCTAGAGACCATACTCATAAATGAAAGAAATCAGACTCACATGTATAAACATCATATTGTCTCCCCAGTATGAGAAACTAAAAGCGTAAATAAGGACAAAAACGTATAACAGATATTGTAAAATGGGAAGACAGGATTCAAAACGAAAGGGGAACTAGGGTGGGGGAAGGGAAAAGGAAAAAATACAAGATAGTTATACTACTAATTTCTCTTAGTTCATTGAAAAGAAAGATTTGGAGAATTTTTTATGCCCCTATTTTGTACTCTGAATAACTATCTTGAAGATAATGATATCCAGTGTATTAACTATTATTATTCTATTATTTTGGGCATTTTTGTTTGTTTTTGTATTTTAGGGAAAGGCCTGTAGGGTTTTCAGTGTCTGACTACTAGATCAGAGTTGTAGTGATCCGCCTGTTTACAACTACTCAAGAGCTGGGATTACAGGTGCACACCACCAAGCCCACTCTCAATTGCCATCTCACTGCACCCCGGGGGTGGGGCCAGGACAGTAGGCCCAGAGATTGAACCCCTGACCCCTGTGCCTGCTTGCAGGCTCTTTAACCTGCTGAGCTATTTGGCCAGCTGTATTATTTTGTTATGAATTTTTTTCCCATAAAATAAAACTTACTTGGAAAGGCAAAGGATCTACCATAGCCTAAACAATTTTGAAAAACAAAAGTAAAACAAAATCAGAGTACCTTATTATAAGACTTACAGCTACAATAATAAAGATAGTGACAAATTGGCAAAACAGTGGACACAGGTCAAAAGAGCCCAGATACAGACTCGTGTAGGCGTTAGCTGATTTTTGACAGAGGCATGAGGGCAATTCAAAGGGGGGAAGGGAGGTTCTCCTCCCGCTCAGTGCAGGAGTAACTGGATATCCATATGAGAAAAAATGAGCCTCCGCCTCTGCCTCAGAAATCACACAGAAACTCATCTGAGAGTTTCCACCTAAATGTTAAACCTACAGTGACTCTAGGAGACTGCATAGTAAAACATCTTTTACTGATGTTGGAATAATCAAACATTCTTTTTTTTAGAAGGGATACAGAAAAAGAAGCATTAACCATTCAAGAAAAATGAGTAAGTTTAGATTTCAGTAGAATTTAAAACATCTATTCTTTGATAGATATCACTTAAGAAAATGAGCGAGCAAGCCACACATGGAAATATACACAGCGTGTGTATCCGGTAGAGGACTGCATCTAGAACATATGATGAATTGTCATTATGGTTTCCTGGCAGCCTAGCTTTTAAAAATGGACAAAAGACATGAATTAGCAGTAAGCACATGGGAATTATTCAGCATCATTTGCTACCAGGAAAATGCATAGTAAGGCAGCTATGAGGCAGGCATAATGAAGTGATGTTTCACAATCTCAGGAATGGCTGACATGTGAATGGTTTCACATTCTCTAGTTGCTCCACGTACTCGCCCAAGGCTGGCGAGTATGTGGAGCAACTAGAAGCTCACACACTGTTGCTGGGCATCTGCATTGGTGCAACCATGGGAAGACTTCATAGCTATGGAAGCGCGCTGACTCAGTCGTGCCTCTTAGAGCGCTCAGTTAGAAGTGAAAACACCACAAAGACACAGACCCAAATGTGAACTGCACGTTTATCCATAATGGTCCCAAAGTGGAAACAATGGAAATGCTCATCAGTAGGACAATGGACATGCAGATTATGGCTTATGGTCTGTTCATTCGGTGACTATTTCAAAGAGAAAAAAAAAAAAAAAAAGAATGAACATGGAATTCTTGTTTTCTGCATTGGGATCAAATCCAACCCAGCACCTGTACATTAAGCAACATCTCCAGCCATTATTTTTAATTTTTACTTTGACTAGGTTCTTATTAAGTTGCCCAGCCTCACCTCAAACTTGTGATATTCCTGCTTCAGCTTCCCAGAGTGCTGGGATTATAGGTGCCACCAATCGTAGCTGCATGGATGAATTGTTTTTTTTTAAAGTTGAGCCAAATATCTAAGAAAAATAGAAAAGGAATTCACTAGGATTCTGTATACATTAAACTAAAAATATGGAAAACTAATCTTTCATATTGAAATCATAACACTGGTTACAGGGGTGGGGTAGGACCACTGTAGGAGTTATGGGCCCTTTGCAGGAGGTGGAAGAGTTGTATGTATTATTGTGGGTACTGGTCCAGTGGGCCATACATTCACCTCGCCTGTATACTTAAAGCATGTGTACTTCACACTTCTGGAGGTTACCTGTTTTGTTTTGTTTTTTTAAACATACTTTAAGGCCTCCATGTCTCTGGGGGCTCAGGCTGCTGTGGCTGTTGGGCCCTCTGAGTGAGCGAGCACCACTGTTCTATGTTTTATGCTCACAACTGCTTTGGCAGCTCTGACTGAAAGGTAGCTTATATGTATATATTTGAATTTATGTGAGGTATAGAATTCATAAAGATATCAACAGCGTAACTTTGTTTTAAGTTGACTTTAAAAAGGTTTATCTTTCTGGATAAAATTTATAGGGCTATTGACATTTTTTAATACTTAAGAAAATATCCTGAGTACAGTAGATCTTTTTGGGTAAAGGAGACAGGATTTTGCATTTTATAAAACCCCTTCTGCTGACACTCCTATCATTTTGAATTTTTGATTCTGTTGTAGCTGAAGTTTGCGCTCAAGACCTACTTTCCTCTCCTCTCCCCGGCCCTTGTCACTGCGCTGCTGCAGCACCCACAAGGTGAGTTTAGTGGCTCTGCTGGTCTGAAGGGCTTGGGGGAGAAGAGTGCTGACCAGCCCTCCTCAGAACTGGGACCTGGCCCCTGGGGGAGCTGGCCTTGCTATATCCCAGACCTGCCTTTCTCTTGGACTCTTACCTTCTGTCAGGTTTTTTTGTTTTTCTTTTTTCTTTTTTTAAATTTTTTTTGTATTTTAGGGAAGGGTCTACAGGGTGTTCAGGGTCTCACTACTAGATAAGACTCATAGTGATCTGCCTGTTTACAGCCTCCCAAGAGCTGGGATTATAGGCATGCACCACCATGCTCAGTCTCATTTGCCATCTCAGCTCGCCCCGGAGCAGGGCCAGCAAGGCAGGCCTGGGGATCTCCTGTAGGTTTTGATGGGATCTGCGCCACTTCCCAGGTATGGTCACTTAGCAGGGAAAGGGAGAAAGGCCTCCGGCTTGCTCAGAAAGCCTGTCTCAGATGGCAGGCTCTGCACGGCTAGCCAGGCCCACAGCAGGCTGGACCCTTCAGAAACCTAGCTGAGTCGGGGTGAAATAGGCCCTCACTTTGCTTTTCTGCCCTTAAGCTCCATGCAGCATTGTTACAGAAGAAAAAATGAAATGAAAGGTGATGCCAAGAACATTTAGGAGAAATGTCACATAATCAAGCCAAGAGAAGGACTTTGAAATAATTTACTAAGATACTAGACAACAGCCTGTTCTGGTCTCATCCACCAGCTCTCTTCTGTCAGCTACTGCCTTCATGCATGAGCATGTCTGAGCCCGTGCCTAAGAAGCATTTCAGATGTGGAGAGTGAAGCCATCTCCCTCTACAGCCTGCAAGCAATAGGAAAGGCCACACTAACATAGCAAAAAAGCTCTGATCCTGACTGTGAAAGGGGAGAGGACTGGGAAGGTAAAGGGCCATTACATATCCCTTGTTGCCAATTTTGGCCTGCCTTCTCTACTTCAGGGGCTCTGGGGATCAGCTCAGTGGTAGAGCACTTGCCCAGCATGTGCAGAGCCCTGGGTTCTATCTCCAGCACCACTGGGCCATGGGTGCAGGGAAGGGGTCCAGTTCCAGAAAGATTCAAAGTCTTAGTACATTTCACAAGTTGATTTCTTCTCTTTCTTTTTAAGAATATTTCAGAGCCAGGCATGGTGGGTGGCACAGGCCTGTTATCCCAGCTCTAGGAGGCTGAGTCAGGAGGACCACCATGACTTTGAGGCCAGCCTGGGCTACACAGTGGGTCCAGGTTAGCCTGAACTACATAGCAAAACCCTGTCTAAAGAAAAAAAGTGGGTGTGGTGGCACTCCTTATAATCCCAGTGCTTGGGAGGCTGAAAAGAGGAGGATAACTAGAATCTGATCTGTATAGTGAGGCCCTGTAGACCCTGTACCAAATACATTTTAAAGAAACTCAGTTCTTACTTAAAATGACTCATCTGATTCTGTCTTCTTAGATGCCAGAGATGGGATGATGGTAGCCTCAGTAGTGATGATTAATGTAGGAAAACTTTACTGTATAAACAGGCAGACCTGGCTCCACAAATGAGGGAGGAGTCCAGATTCCTTAAGTTTAGAAACCTACAAACAAAAGACTGAGTGGTATGTGGCACACACTTAGCCTATCTCCCTTTCTCTATGTGTGACTGTTGTGGATATCAGCAGAATTGGCACTCAGTAGAAGCGCAGAGTTTCCTGTACTGTTCCTAGAACCCACATTTGCTTATATTGCTTTTGGACAAAACAAATATAATGTTCAAAAATGAAAGTGAGTTTTCATAGTAAAATCTAGTCACCAGAACTTTGTTTTGTGCCCATAGTGAAGCCTTACGGGCATAAAACATGACCACTCTTGAGTCCTTACTCCACAGGATCCATAAGAAAGGAGGAAATAAAAGAAGTATCTCAGTAACTAATAAAAAGAAGAAAGTGAAAAATGCCTTCCAAAGTCTATAAGTTAAGGGTCATGGGAGTTCAGAAGAGATCTATGGGGCGCCCTGGGGTCTGCGACACTGGACAAGTGGGTCCCTGTCCCTACCATATCTTTCCTGAGCATCTAATTATGTGATTACATGAAAACCTTTTTCATTTGTTGATTAGAACTACCGATACATACACGCTCAGATGTGCTTAAAAACATAGGATAATTGTCAGGCCAGAAAACCTTACTCAGGAAAAGACATTTGCATAATGCCCCTATGTATTTTTTTTTCTCCTGTGTCCTTAACTGTAAACCTGAAATCATATTCTGAATTCATCACAACGACAGACACTGTGAACAGTTGGCCAGTCCATTCCTAATTGTTTTTTGGTGGTTTTGATACTTGTCCATGTATTTTGAACTCACATATTATTATGATGATGTAAGGGCTGGGTAGATAGAATAGACAAGGCCATGTGCACCACCAACATGGCATTTTGAAGTCTTGGGAAGCAGCTTATGTAGTGGTATCTACTGCCATGAACCCAAGTTAAAGATGCTTTGATGCTGCCTCTGGTTAACACTGATGGATTTTCTTCCCCAGGGTAAGAGAGCGAACCCAGGTGGCAGGCATGGTTTGGGTTCTACAAACCAGGAGAAAGGGCCATTTCCCCCAAATGCTTCCCAGCATAGCAGCAGGTAGTTCTGGGTGGGGTTGGCTTTTGCTCAGTCCGACTAACTCCCTCCCTGCCCCCACAGAAAGCCCACAGGGATGCTGCCTCCAGCTTCTGCAGCACATTTCCCAGCTACTCCAAGAAGCAGTGGAAGACCAGGCTTGTAGGTGAGCAAACACTTACCACCTAAGTTAAGTTAGCTTCCAGGTGGCTTCCTGCCACCCTGCTCTTCCTTGACCCTCCCAGACCAGAAAGCATTGTCACTGCCTAGAGAAGGCAGAGGAAGCAGATGACATCACATGCTATGCACATGCCTGCATGAAGCCAGCGCTCAGTGAGGTCTTGCTTTAGACCATAACGATGAAAAGGGCAGACCCTAGAAAAAGCAGTGCCAGGGCCAGGGAGAGAGTTCAGTGACATAAGCCCATGCCTGGCAAGCACAAAGTCCTGAGTTCCATCCCCAGTACCAAAACAAAACAACAACAACAAAAAACAACAAAAAAAAATCAGTGTCCACATATAGGGGGCTCTGGCCATGCAGGTGGAAAGGCATCCCTGGCCCATAGGTCTCTATGTCTCAACAGAAGGAAACACTGACCTCCTGCCCACTAGGAGGGAGTATCTAGTGTGTTAGTTTCCCCACACACACTTTTTTTTGACATAAAATTATGCATTGTTTTCCTCCTAAGTAAATATTTCATCAATATTAGAATCTCAATTCTAGTATAATAAGTAATACCATGGTATTCTTTATACATGATGAGGGTCTCCTTGTATGTGCTGTCTTCCCTGAAGAATTCACATGTAGGTTTGCTGTGTTCTCCCTTTGATGTCCTCTGACTCACCCACATTAAGAGTGTAGATGACATGTATTCATCATCTGTGCTAGCCTAGTGGGGCTTTCATACTTGTCCCTCTTCTGACCCTTCTCTCTCAACTCTGCTCTCATTTCTGAGCCAGCACAGAGCATTGTGGGTACTTTGTGTTGGTATGCACTGAGCGAAGGTCTTGGTGCCATCCTGTCCTCCCCACTGGGGTTTTGGCCAACAGGGAACACATGGAATGAACTGGCAGCCAGATGAGATGAGTGTGCTGGTCACATTTACTGCCTGCCATTGGCCCTTCTTGGTGTCCATATGGGAGAGCAGGGCTAGAACCCTGACCTCATGGGCACCTACCCTCACCTCAACCCTGGAGGCCCCTGAAGGAGGGTCTGAGGGGGAACATAGTCACTTTTCTTGGTTGGTCACAAAGATGGGCTGGCACAGGCAGGGCTCGGCAGAAAGAGTGGGATGGAACGAGCCTGTGTTCAGTGTTCTTACTGTGAGGTCACCTCCAGGAAGAGAATGGAAAGCCCCTTCACTCCAAGACATCTGAGCCACATTTTGTCAGCACGGCCCTTGAGTTTCAGCTTGACCTGTGGATGAACCGCTTCTCTTTTGGGGACCAGAAAACAAGGCTGAGGCACCCACCCTTCCTTTTCCTCCGTTGTTCTGCAGACTCGATTTCAGAGCATTTAATCACATGTTCTCAGGAAGGACCCAGACAGCTGGGCCAGAGAGATGCACAGAAATGGTGCTTGGAGTGGGGAGGGACATGCAGAGGGACAGGCTGAGTCCTGTGTGGATGCCACAGGGCAGCCAACATACTCCTACTCCCTCCACTCCCCCAGGCCAGCAGAGTGAGCCTCCTGCCTGTCCTTGGACCATCCCCATTTTTAGCCTAGAGAGACTGTCCTTACCTCACATACTCTTTACACAGAATCACAGCTCCCAGACCCAGTGAGACAGTGGCCTGGCTTGGAAAGATCTTTACCCCTTCAGCACTGAGTATATGTGAGGATGGGAGAATGCCATATGAGCTCATTAAAAATTCATCACTACTGAAACACTGACCAGAACCTGGCATCTTGTTGGAAAGGGAGCAGTATATTTTTGCAGGTGCCCATTTACCACCTCTCTGTCCCAAGGGGTAGAGCCAGCAGCTTTCTCTGTTCTGCAGTAGAATTCCCAGAGCCTCCCTTCACTGTGGCACTGCCTGGGTGTTCCCCCTGTGGCTGAAGGCTGCAATCTCCACCTCAGCTCAGTGGACATGTGATGTGGAAGGCAGGGGCACCATCTGCAGTGCTCCTGCTGGTCACCACTGCTGATCTCCTTTTCTGGAAGCCTGTACTCACTGAAGGTACCCAGATATAAAGATTTAACTGTCCCCAAGTCCTCACACATAAGCAAACAGTGATTGATTCCCAGTGACACTCAGATAAGTTTTCTAACTTGTGCTCCTTGTAGACCTTACTGCATTGTCAGTACAGTTTAAGCTAGCCATTTGCAAACATGTCAGTTGCTTTATGAACCAAAAGGAAAGCTAGACACACATGCTTGTCATGGCAAATGCCTGTGACCCCATTTAGTTGGGAGGCTGAAGCAGGAAGATTGTAAGCTTGCAACTTAGCAAGATCCTATCTCAAAAAAACTAAAGAACCAAAAGGAAAAAGCAGTGAGGTTGCCAGCTGACATGTGTCTTGGCTCTGTTCCAGGTCCCGTGAAGACCCCTTTGAGAACTGGTTTTTGTTCATTCACTTTGGAGACTGGGCTGATATGGCAGCTGAGCAGTTACTGAGGTCAGAAGCAGAAACCCCTGCAACAGCGCTGCTGTGGCTCCTGGCATTCTACTACAGGCCCCTGGACTCCTGTCAGCAGAGAGCACAGACCATGGTAGGTGACAGGGCTCAGGAGCAGGGCAGTGCCTGGAGTGGTCACCTTCTACTGACACCAGCCTCTGAGCACAGGGTGGTCTCAGCATATGTCTAAGAACTGACGCTAGCCTGTGCTGTCAGCCCGCCTCCCACTCCTGGGACCTTCTCTCTCCTTGCTCAATAGCCATCTGCCCTCATTTACCCAGTGCACTGCCCCAGGCCTTAGTCCCCATGCGGTCCCATGCAGGGCTGAAGCTCCTCCGGCCAGAGCCCTCCCCCTGCTGTCTCTCATTCCCACCTTGGCCTGCCTGCCCTTCTTCCCTCTGATCAGGCAGCAGGGTTTCCCCTCAGAAGCTCTGTTCAGACTTCTTCCTAGCATGACCACTGATGTTAGCCACTCCTTCTGAGAAAGGACTCGGTCATTTTTCTAAATAACAGAGCAGCTAAGTACAGGATAGGGTAGCTATGGTGAAGGCAGCTGTTATTTTATGTGGGATACAATAATTACAGGAAGCTGTGCTTTGATTAAAGGCACTGGCACCTCCCTTGCAAACATTTCTTTGCTGGTTTTTAAAATTTCAACTGCCAGTGTTTGGGACTGGTTTTAATAATTAAAGGGAACAGGTTTCATTATGTATAGAACAATGTTCCTATTTGCTTTGTATTTTCTGTTGTCTGGAAAAAAACAGACCAGTACAAATGTATGTGTATTTCATTTGTTTAAAAGCGTGATGGCAGGGGAAAACAAGAGTTTCGACTCTTAAAGGTAAAATTGAAGGATAATTTTTAGGATCAAAATAACATTTTTTAGAAAAAAATTTCATAATCCACATATGTATTGGAGGATTGCTATCTGATTAAAAACAAAGCCTGCTCTCCCCTTCAAAATATCACATTAAACTAATTAAGGAAAACCCTAGTTTGTTTTTCATCATCTTATTTTTAAGAGTAATAATTGAGATGTATGAACCACTCATGACTTCTAAAGCCCTTTTATATGCATTTCATATTTGATTCTATATAAACTTAAGTTGGTAAATATGTGTTAAATTCCACATGGATCAGAGACACTGAAAAATAGAGACTCATTTTTGAAGTACAAAGAAATTGTCCAATAAGATTAAATTTCTAGAAAGTTTTGCATTGGCATAACTTACTAGTTGACCTGTTCTTTTGATTTTTGCTTCGTATTTCTTTTTTTTTCATAGTTTTATTCATAAATAGCAATGAGACAGTTTCAAATCAAATCGCTAGGACAGTTTCAATAATTAACACACTGCATACATTCTTCTTAGTGGTTAATTGCTATACAAGATGCGGACTTGAGATCCTATTTACAAACATCATTAGAACAAATCATTCTATTCATTAAGAGAATGTAACTATATGTCTATCCTAACCACTTTGAATACACAGATACAAAATGGACATTCATCTGTATA